GTCCCTAAAAGATGTTCTCAGATTTCTAAAATTAATAGTTTGTCCAAATGATTCTGCCCATTCGTCGCAAAATGATGTCCTCTATTCCTTAATCTTGTGGACCATCCTGTAGTTATTTTTCAACGAAACTTGAAAATAACTGTACATACCGGACGAACTATGTTAGTACGGGACGATGATCGTGTACGAATTAATTTCATACCAATGCACATTGAGTTCATACACAACAGTTTTTACACTGTCCGTATGTACGAATTACGATCGTATGGGACGATCAAGTACGTACATATTTGAAAAATTGTAATTTTTTGGACGATTGCTTGTAATCTTTTTGTCCACTGGTCTTCGTGCAAACTGAAGAGAGATTAAAGGAGAGAGTGTGAGAGAGTGTTTGAAGGATATTTCTTACTACTGGAGCGTGAAGTGTTCACTTGGTACTCAAAGGTAAAAATCTTTATTTGTGAATTGTGATTACTTTACTCTTTTCTCTTGTCCTTCTAGATTTCTCATGAGAATATCTTGTCAAGAAGATCAGGTTCTCTGCCTACACTTGGAGTGGGTGAACAACGGAAGGTTCTCTTCCTACACTTGAGAAGTGTGAAAGGACGAAGGGTTCTCTGCCTACACTTGAGAAGTGTGAAAGGACGAAGGGTTCTCTGCCTATACTTGGAGAGGTGTGAAAGGACGAAAGGTTCTCTACCTACACTTAGAGAGTGTGAACAACAGGAGGGTTCTCTGCCTACACTTGGAGAGTGTGAACAGCGGGAGGTACTCTGCCTACACTTGGAGGGTGTAAAAGGACGATGGTTCTCTGTCGAACCGGGTAGTGGTGGAATAGAGTTTTTGTAAAGGCTTCTCTGCCTTGCTGTGGGGAAAAAAGGAGAGACACTAAGTGGTAATAGTGTAATACCTGAAGTGGAAGACTTCAGAGAGTGGATGTAGGTCGTGTTTGACCGTACCACTATAAATCTTGTGTCTTTTTATTTTTATGCTACCTTTTTTTTACTTTACTATTTCTGTGTGATTTTTGGTTGAAAAATCCTTTTTAAATTTTATCATAAGTATTTTATCGGTTTAAAATTATAAAAGGGTGATAAAAATTTTAAATTACTAATTCACCCCCCTCTCAGTTAGCCACTGGAACATAAGCTTAGGTCTAACAACCTAATTCATATTTAACAAGTTTTAACAATCCATGCCCAGTTTATAATGGTCTGGCAGTCAAACAGGCTTGTCTTGTAGTCCACGATGCTCCTCATGATGGACTTTTGTATGTTCCTCAATATGTTTAATTAGCGGGGCCCTCCATGTGGGCGGCGAGATATAGTAATGGAAAGTGAAACCAATATTAATTAGACCCTAGTATATCCCATATGGTGGCCACTATTAATATTGGTTCATGATATGTGGTTGTTTCAAAGCTTTAATTAATAGCTCATGCAATTGTCTCCAATATATATAAGTGGTTGTAGCAGCACCCATATCTGACAAACTAGTATCAGCTTATGTTGCGTTGTGGGAGAAAGTATGTCCTTCCTTGGATTCTGCACTGTATTGTGTATCCTCCAATTGCATTTGGCTCATTAAGGCATTATTTAGCTCTCCAATCTTGTTTATAATGTGTTAGAGATCAGGTTTGTCTGTACAATCATAGAATGATTATAATATCTCATTTATCTCCAAGAAATGGTTACATTGCATGTAATTAAATGAAAGAAATAGAAATATGAGATGAAATCTTTGGACATAAGAAACCTTAAAAGGAATTATTACCAGTAAATGATCAATAGGTGTTCATGAGTAGAATGGCCTAGGTGGCGCGATATGAGCCTATACCACTATAATTAATCCTCCAATGTTTGCTCCCCGCCATCAAGATCTTACACACCATGGATTATCGCTCCTCATCATCCCTCCCACATAAGTATGTGACATTAATGGTAAATCATCCAATCTATATCATCCTTACCACGACTGTCCACTCTGATGAAGTTCAGATCCATCGATTAAATGTCAGTAGTAGGTGAGAATCTGACTGTCAGAGAACTCGGTCAGATAAATGCCACTCAACTCTCTTCAATATGATAAGTCAAACATGAGCTAGCTAGATCTGCCTACCTACAAAACTTCTATTAAATGTATGATATATATTTCTTATAATATAAAGTAAAAAAGGAGCACTATTACATGCTAACCAAAATTTTATTTTTACAAAAAATTTCATATGAAATTCCTTATATAATCCAGAACACTTGGCTATTGTGTAACGTTATATTTCTACAATATCAGGCAGGCATGTTGGTAACATCTACAAAGCTTTGTTATACTTTTAGGGCACAAAATAGTGCAGACGAATGTTTACTAGAAAACGTCACCCCATATATTGACCATCTAATATTCAAACTATTAAATAACAGTGGATTACTTACAAACTAAAAGAGGGTTAGCTAGTTCAATCTTTCCAACATTTATATGATGTTATCATTATCCTTTCATAATAAAAAACAATTACACATAATTATGAAAATATAACTAGTTCATGATATCCTAATACATTAATATCTACATTATATAGAAAATGATAATATTATTGCTTAATGCACCAATGCCTTTTAAAATAAGAATACAATTAATTAGCCCATGGGAAGTTGGTTCTATTATGACCTGGTGTTTTACATAAACCACAAAGCCTCCTAGATGATAAACTGCTCTCATCCATAATATTCTAGTAGCATCTTATTCGCGATCCCCCAATGCATCTTCTGTAATTAGGTGGTGCTAGTAGAAACATACCTCTTCTAGGGTTATGAAAGCTCCAAAACTCATGGCCATGTATACTATAAAACTCTATTGTGTATGTGTGTTTCAAGTTTACTTTGGTGTAGTATTTTGAAAAATAAGGTAGATGACTTTGCCTCATCAAAGCCACACAACTTATAATATGTATTCAGGGAGTGTGATAAAGTAAGGGTCATCGTCAACTGCGTATGCAGTTATACTCATATACTATGTCCACCCGATATTACCTTTTGGACATACTATTCACCTGAAACTCTGTGAAGTTGAATATGGTAAGATTTGAAATTCTTCTTGCTTCTAGCTCGATCTTGCATAATGACTCTTTAATTTGTTGTGCAAAGGGATTATTGATCTTCAGCCCATCTGTTTGTAAACGTCCCAACTGTCACGACCCAACCCGACCGAGACGGATCCCGCTCGAATCGGGCCGCGACGGAACTTTCTAAAATCCAGGATCGAGTTTTGGAATTTGCTTCAGAACTTTCTTCCAAGTATTAAATAGACAGAAAAACATAGAGCTACTATAAACATCCGAATGCAGAAATGGTTCATCTATCTTTTCTTTCCTCAAAATAAACATATACAATACAATCCATGGCTTCAGACAAAAAGAATAGAACAGAAAAGCCATGACTGCACAAAAATCAAAAGTATCAAGTACCTAATCACAGATCAGACTCAGAACGTCTAGTCCAAGACCTCCTTCCCATTCCCAAAACCTGAAAATCACGTAGAAAGCAAGGATGAGCTAACAGCTCAACAAGACATCACTCACCAATCCAAATCATCAGAAATTCACATCAGAAAATATCCGTACAAAAATCGTAAAACAGACAGAACAGATACTTGATCAATCAGAATTTAGCTTACAGATACAGAAAACTGATATTATAAAGCTTTCATGTCACAGAGTAAATATAATCGTACGGAATAACCAGAATCGTACAAAAATCAGAAATCAGATAAAATCACATTCATATCAGATCATTCGTATCATATTAATATCAGATTCAACCAAAATCGTACAGAAATAAAACAGATTAGATAAGTCACAGAACAGATTAGCAGATATCAAACATTAGATTCCCTGACCCTGATAGAATCTCAACAGATTCTGACCCCTTATGCCTCCCTTCCCAGACACTAACAGAATCCCAACGAATTCTGGCCCCTTATGCCTCTCTTTGTGCTTATAGCACCAGAACAAAACATAACAGATATTCGAAATTCCGGAATATAACTTATTTTCAGATTTCAGAGCTCATTTCATATTTCCCTGACACAAACAGAATTTCAAGGGATCCTGACCCCTTATAACTCCCTTCTGATAGCATACAATTAATCAATTCATTCAATGTATCAATTCAGAGCAAAAGCAGAATTCATACAAAATTTCAGCGGCATAACGGCAGTATACGGAATTTACACAAAATTTACAGATTCAGAAATTTATCAAATTACCACAGAACATTCACAACAACATTGTAAGAATTTCCTTGTACTGACAAAATATTTTTCAACATTCTGATAAATTATACTTCAATTAAAACACCGCAGAATCCAAAATATCCGGTAAAAATCTTCCAGAAAATACTCAAAATGTGCATAATTATCATCTCAGAGACATACCAAAAGTTACACGGTAAAATATTTGTCAGAAGAAAATAATACCAGAAATTCGTTAACGGAAATAAAATCCAGAACAGAAAAGTCGTCAAAATCCACATTTCTTAAAATTGAGAAAGGCGGAATGTGCCTTACCTCAAGTCGGTCAACTTCTCTAACTACAGCAACGAACGAAAATGGACCAGAGTCTCCCAAAAATCCTATTTTCCTTCTTTTCTTTCATTTTTCTCTCTCATGGACGTCCTTTTTCTTTCCAAAAAATCTCATTCCAATATATATCTAGAATGATCGTCTCGGACGATTGCAACTTCACCCCGGGACGATTTGGGCTCTGGACGAATTTCATCCAGACGAAATTAATTAGCATCCCTGATGACTTTCCCTCTGAAAAATTTTCGTCCAAACGATCCAAATTTCGTCCAGATGAACCATGCAGCCAGAAATATTTTCCTGCACAACCTGTACCGATCGTCCCGGACGATCCAACTTCGTCCGGACGAACCTGGAAGCAAAATGGTCTTTACAATCTCCCCAACTTCAGAAAAATGTCGTCCTCGACATTGCCAAACCAAAACTCAGTCAGAAAAGATACGGATATGCTTGCCTTTGTCCGACTCCTTCTCCCAAGTCGCTTCTCGCGCTGTTCGGTGCTTCCACTGAACTTTAACTATAGGAATTTGTTTACTTCTTAACTTACGAACATCATAAGCCAAAATCAACTCAGGTTCTTCTTCATACCTCAGATTCTCCTGAATCTCCACTTCATCAGCAGACAATTTCTTTTCAGAATCAGATATCCACTTTCTCAAAGTAGATACGTGAAAAATATTATGCATATCAGACATCTGATCAAATAATAACAGTCTGTAAGCAGACTTACCAATCCTTTCAAGGATTTCAAAAGGTCCAACATATCTTGGACTGAGCTTACTCACTCTACCAAATCTGCTCACGCCTTTCATCGGACTGACTTTGACATACACAAAGTTACCAACCTGAAATTCCACAAACTTGTGCTTCTGATTGTAATTCTTCTGTTGTCGATCTTGTGCAGCTTTCAATCTTTCTTTAATCAGATTGATTTTCATAACAGTTTCATCTACAAATGTAGCACCCATTTCTTGTCTATCTCCTACCTCAATCTGAGTTAAAGGAGTTCTACATTTCCGGCCATACAAAGCTTCATAAGGTTCTATACCAATACTGGACTGAAAATTGTTATTATAAGAAAATTCTATCAAAGGAATATGATCTTCCCAACTTCCTCCAAAATCTAAAACACATAATCTCAGAAGATCTTCCAGTACCTGAATAGTCCTCTCAGACTGTCCGTCAGTCTGCGGATGAAAAGCCATACTGAAATGCAACCTCGTACCCAATCCTTGCTGAATACCCTTCCAAAGTCTGGAAGTAAACCGTCCATCTAGATCAGATACAATCACTTTAGGCACACCATGTAATCTGACAATCTCCTTCACATATACCTATGTCAACTTATCCATCGGATTTGTCTGCCTGATCGGAAGAAAGTGTGCAGACTTCGTCAATCGATCCACAATCACCGAGATGGCATCATTTTCATGCCTTGATCTAGGAAAACCCATAGCAAAATCCATCGTTACCTCCTCCCACTTCTACTCAGGAATAGGCAACGACTGCAAAAGACCTCCTGGTCGCTGATGCTCTGCCTTCACCAACTGACATACTTCACATTTCGAAACAAAATCTGCTACATCCTTTTTCATTCCAGGCCACCAGAACAAACTCTTCATGTCTCCGTACATCTTGCTACTTCCTGGATGTATCGTATAGCCTGAATGGTGAGATTCGTACATAATCTCTTTCCTCAAATCTCCAGACACAGGAATCCACAACCTGTTCTTACAGAAAAAAACACCAGAATCAGAAACTCAAAGTTCAAGTTTCTTACCAGATTCAATCTGAGCAATCAACTTCAAATAATTGGAGTCTGACTTCTGAACTTCCTGAATCCTTTCTTCCAGGGAAGACTGAATGTTCATCTGAGTCAAAACACCAGAATCCGCACCAGTAAAGGAAATCACCTCTAACTGTAATCTTTCTATATCTCGTGTCAGATAGTCATCAGAAGTGAGCTGAATACCTGATAATCCAGAAGACTTCCTACTCAGAGCATCTGCTACCACATTAGCCTTGCCAGGCTGATACTGAATCGTCAGGTCGTAGTCCTTGATCAACTCAAGCCACATTCTTTGCCTCAAGTTCAGATCCTTCTGAGTGAATATGTACTTCAAGTCTTATGATCCATAAAGATCTCACATCTGATGCCATACAAGTAGTGACACCAAATGTTCAAAGCAAAAATAACTGCAGCCAACTCCAAATCTTGCGTCGGGTAATTCTTTTCATGTGGTTTCAACTGTCTAGAAGCATAAGCAATTATCTTACCATGCTGCATCAGAACAGAGCCCAAACCTTTCAGTGAAGCATCACTGAACACCTGAAATCCTTCCGTACCTGACGGAAGTGCTAACACTGGAGCTGAAGTCAAACAATCCTTCAACTTCTGAAAACTAGCCTCACACTCCGATGTCCAAATAAAAGCTACTGACTTCTGAGTCAGTCTCGTCATAGGCGTAGAAATCTGAGAAAATTCCTTCACAAACTTTCTATAATATCCAACCATGCCTAAGAAACTACGTACCTCAAATACCGTAGTAGGCCTTGGCCAATCAGCAATAGTTTGAATCTTATGGGGATCAACAGAGATACCTTCACCGCTCACCACATGCCCTAAAAAAGAAATGCTCTTCAGGCAGAATTCGCACTTGGAAAACTTAGCATATAGCTGATGCTGCCTCAAAGTCTCCAACACAATGCTCAAATGTCTGGAATGATCTTCCTCAGAAGTAGAATACACCAGAATATCGTCGATTAAGACGATCACAAACTGATCCAAATACTCCTTGAACACTCTGTTCATCAGATCCATGAAAATAGCTAATGCATTGGTTACCCCAAAAGGCATAACCAAAAACTCGTAGTGCCCGTACCGAGTACTGAAAGTTGTCTTCAACACATCAGCTTCTTTCACCTTCACCTGATAATATCCAGATCTCAAAATAATCTTTGAAAATACAGAAGAGCCAGAAAGCTGATCAAACAAGTCATCAATCCGTGGTAATGGATACTTGTTCTTGATCGTGACCTTATTCAAATCTCTGTAATCAACACACATACGGAGTGTTCCGTCCTTCTTCTTCACAAACAGTACAGGTGCTCCATAAGGAGAAACACTAGGACGAACAAATCCTCTATCCATCAACTCCTGGAGCTGAACTTTCAACTCAGAAACTTCTTTTGGTGTCATCCTGTATGGAGCTTTTGATATCGGAGCTATACCCGGAAAAACATCAATAGAGAACTCAACATCTCTATCCGGAGGTAAACCAACCAACTCCTCAGGAAATACATCAGAAAACTCCCGTACAATCGGGATATCAGAAATAGAACCCGCATCTATATTCATATTCCGTACAGAAGCCAAAAATACCAGGCAACCCTTCTTCCACATTCTTCTGACTTCCAACATAGAAATCAAACAGGATAAAACTCCTCGTAATCCTTGAAATACACATCTTTTGCCATCCATAAGCAAACTCACTTGCTTCTTCAAACAGTCAATCTGAGCCTCATACAGACTCAACCAATCCATACCCAAAATTACATCGTAAGAAGAAATTGGCAACAAAATCAAACTCGATTTTCACTTCTTGCCAGAAATATCAATCTCACAAAAACAAAACTTCCGGGCGATCAAATTGCTTCCATCCGGCAAAATAATAGAAAGCGAAATCGGTAACAAAATAGAATCCAGATGCAAAGCATCAAAACAACGTTCGGAAAGAAATAAGTGACTAGCTCCATAGTCAAACAAAACACGACAGGGCTGATCAGAAATATAAATCGTACCTGTCACCACATCCGGGGCATCTCAAGCCTCCTGCTGACTCAAACTGTATACTCGTGGCTGAACTGGAGCTGGAGCTACTGAACCACTAGACTCTCACTGACTACTAGTAGGTGGTCTCCGTACTACAGAACTCGACCCACCACCTCTTCTAGAGGATCCTTCACTCACAATACGTGGAGGAACAGTCCTCGGCCTTCCTGCTGAACCAACAGGTCTACTATCAGATCGGAACTCAGATCGTCTATCAAATTCAGCTTATGGACACTCTGCAATCCGATGTCCTGGCTGACCACATCTGAAGCACTGACCAGTCATCCTATAGCACTGGCCAAAATGTCGTCGTCCACAACTTTGGCACATAGGTGCCCCACTGATATATCTAGAACTGGTCGTACTGGTAGTGGCAGTGCCAGAAAATCCTGACTGTCCACTCCTCCTGGAGTCTCCGAAAACAAATCTCCTCTTGCTAGAGGAACCACTGCTAGAAGTATCACCCCCGAACCTCTTCCTACTCGCAGCCCACCACTGCTGAGTAGCCATCAGATCATTCTCTATCAAACGAGCTCTTTCCACAAGCTCAGAGAAATCAGAAATGTGAAATGGCACTAGGGGCTGCCTCAGACTATCTCGTAGTCCCCTCAGAAATCTATAGCACTTCTCAGCAGAAGTACTTATCAACTGTGGAGCATATCTAGCTAAAGCAGTAAACTCTGTCTCATACTGCATCACTGTCTTGCTTCCTTGAACCAACCTCAGAAAATTCTCCTGCAACTGCTGTTGTGCAGAAGGGGGTACAAACCACGATCGGAATATCTCAGAAAATTCTTCTCAAGTAATCAAAGAATTTAGCTTCCCATAGAATTTCTCCTCCTGCTCGCCTATCCACTAGCGCTCTGCTTCCCCATCCAACAGAAAAACTGCCAACGGTACCTTCCTGTCCGACGGACACTGCATACCGTCGAAAGTTTTCTCTAATCTCCTCAACCATTCTTCAGCTGCTCTGGGCTCAACAGTGCTCTCAAACCTCGGAGGTTTCAATCTCAGAAACATTAGCATATGTCTATCTATATTCTCAGATCGGACAGTCGAGGCTCTACTCTGAGTCTCGCTCATCATCTGAGCAACCAATGTAGCAAACTGAGAAAGTGTATCAGAACCAACCACTGGGGTCGTACTACTCACCGGAGCTGCCTGACTAGCACTCTGACCATTTGTCATATCAGGGTCTGGCAGATCCATGAGCACACAGAAAACTAAGCACAAAAGCAACACAATAAAAATCCAGACAAACCAAAACTACCCCAGACAGACTCA